CTACTCCTGGGCACGGGCCAGCGGCAGTTCGCATTCTTGGCGTGAGGAAGAGTATTGCTGATCATATAGGTTGTTGAAATCTCCAGCTAGAGTCGCCATCGCGGCAATATCGGCCCAGTGGTGGAAGGCGAGATTCACAGGAAGATCGAGCCCGGTGGTGGGAACGACAGTGGCATGTTATAGGTCATTCTCAGGTGCGAAAGTGTGCTGGAAAGTTTCGACAAGAGTTCGCAGCAGAATAGTGTATAGCGCCTGATGTTTCTCAATGTCTGAGATGCTGTCGAACACACTGCCAGCGCGTCACCACCACCTCCTCCCCTGCCGTTCGGAGACGCCTGTATGGTGAAATGCTGGCGGGAAGACCTGCCACGCTAGTGGACTGCATGCTCCCCCCCCGCCGCGGGAGAAACCGTTGAGGGAACCTTGAGGAAGAGCCCGCAGGTCCGTCTTGGGACTGGTGTGGGGGCCTTTTGGTAGCGGTCTTGACGCATGACGCCTTCGGGGGCCGCATTGGGGCTTCTCTGGCCCGTCCTGGGGTTCTGTTGGAGTCATGTAGGACGATCTTGGGCTGCCTGGGGGACCTCCTGGGCCCCTCCCAGGCGGTCGGGGAGCCCTCTTGAGGGCCTTTCGGGCCTGGTCTCGCGGGCTTCCTGTGAGCCATCTCGGAGGGCCTCAAGGCCGCAGGGGAGAGAATCCTCCAGGCGTGGGCCTCTCGAGGCCTTCCTGGAGACATGCTGGAGCTTCCTGGGGGCGGCGTGAGGGCCTTCTCGGGCCCCCACGAGGCCATGTTGGTCGGGGCGTGTTTGTGCCACCTGGGGGCACCATGAGGCTGATTACTTGCAGGCCACCTCGGGCCATCTTCGACCGACTTGATTCAGGAGGGAAAAAACGCACAGGCACAATGAATCGTCGAGTCCCCAGAAAATATGGGAAGATGTGGGGAGTCGGGGTGGGAAGACAAAAACCCAGAAAATGTAGGAAAATGTGGGGATTCCTGCAATTTGCGTGCATTTGCGCTTTTCAAAGAAGGCGCTCCTTTGCAAGTTCGTCGACTTCGACACCGCCTGGTTCCGAGGCTTTGCCTCCTCCCGGCCTCGTTCTGAGGCCGCGCCCCCCTTCTCCTCCCCCTTCCTCGTGCTGAGGCCGCACCCCCCTTCTCCTCCCCCTTCTCTGCGTATTTCAAGCTTCGCGCGGTCCGCTTAGCTTCGACCGGGGAGAGGTGCGCTCTCGACCTGCGAATCAAAAAAGTGTGTATTTATTTGTGTGTCCCAGGGCCCCTTCATTGATGGCGGCCCTCTTGGAGGCCCACCTGGTGCCACCCTGGGCGGGAGCGCAGGTGGAGGGCCTCCCTGGCGTGGTCCTCTGGGCCTCTGCGGGTCGGACCGAGAGCCAGTGTTAAGTCGGGCCTGTCCCTCTACAGGAGGGATGTTCAAGTAAAAAAATAGTCTGGGGACTATGTTTTAAGCTATTTGGGGCGTATTGTGTAAGTATTTGTAACTGTCGTCGAAAATCCCCCTGTAGGGGTTCGGGCGTATTTTCTACAGGAGGGATATTCAAGAATAGTAAAAAAATAGTCTGGGGACCATGTTTTAATATTATCTTTAAGCTATTTTGGGCGCACTGTTTGAGTATGTTTAACTTTCGTCGAAAATCCCCCTGTAGGGGGTTGGGCGTATGTTTTGAGTATTTCCAATTTGTCGCCCAAGATCCTCCTGTAGGGGGGCAGGCCCGACCCAAAGCCAGTGGGAGCTTCTCGGAAAGGGCCCCAAAGCATGTCTAAAGACGCGCCCATACTCGAACTCGCCACGCGGAGTAATGTCATACGAGGACTCAAATGAGACCTCGCCCTCGTCGACGGTGTCGTGGGCTCTTGGAGGGTCCAGGGGAGTGGCGTCATGCGCCGGTCCCGACCAGGCCTCGGCCTTCCTGGGGGTTGCCAACTGCGCAATTGCCATCAAGATCGCTGGCTCCTGGGAGAACCAGCAGAGTGGTGCGAGGCACTGAGGCTTGTACAGTGGGGGCCCATGCCAAGAAACACCCTGCTTGCCTCCAGTGAGCCCTGGGTGTCTTGGCTTTCGATGGTTTTGCTGTGGAAGGCGTGACGTTCCCACACCGCAAATCGATGGACGTCCTGGGGTCTCAGGGTTTGGTTTATCGCGGAAGGGTTCTTGTGGTCGGGCCTCCACTGCAGCGCGAGGCGCGAAGTCAATTCGCATGTCGCGAGTATGACTGCGTGGCGTACCTCTGCAGCACGGGCAGGTCCTAGCTCGACTGGCCGCGCCGTAAAGTTGTGTTGCGGTTTGCACGCCTGTGAAGCAGGGATGCTGCCGGAATTGGTGGTGAGCCGAGGGAGCGACAGGTTTGACCCAGCACAAGACTCGAGTGGTTCTTGACCTTGTCCTGTTCGCCGCCGTGTGGGTTCCCGGAGCTCTTCCGTGCCGGTGGTGTTCGTTAATGCTTATCCGTGAGATGTCGTTTGTGACCAGTGCGTAAAACATCCTTTCTCGTCCCAAGTCTTTTCATGTCTACAGTCGGGGCCCTGAAGAAGGAACCCTTTTGGTTGGGGAGGGGCTCCGCGTTCCTTACGTGTTTCGCAGCTTGCCTCAGGTTTCCCTTTATGTTTTCGATCGGAAATCGAAGTTAACCTATGGAAAAAGGGGCCTCGTTCCTTATTTGGGGTTCCTTAGGTCAAGGCCCCGACTGTAACTCCCCCTTCTCATGGTCCCTCAGGTCGCGCCCCTCATCTGACGAGGGGGCCGGGCGGGCGGGCGACCCTCGACCTCCGAGGCCCACGATGTTGATATCCTCATGGTCGCTCCGACCCGTCCACCTTTCTCCGTGTGCCTCTCGTCTCTCCTCCTCGTCGACCGCATCGGCACACCAGAAGCGTGCCAGGCAGGCGAGAAGGGACGTGCAGGATCCGATGCCTCGTGCTCGCGTTCGCGCGGGCTCTTCGGCCTCGTGCGGGCAGGCGCTGCGACCCGCTGGCTGCAGCATCAAGCAGTGGCGAAGCGTCTTGGCTCGCTCATAGCCCTACCAAACAATGTTCTAAGAACCTTGTGTGGTTTCCGCGAAACGTTCTTAGAACATTTCTGGTTGAGATTGTCTTGTTTTAGCACATCCCCATTGTGTTCCGAGAATCTTGTTTTGTGATTCGAATAATCTTGGGGTTCTAAGAACATTTCGTGGTAGGACTATCAGAATGCCGGGACGGTCGGCTCCTGCTCAACAGCAGCACATCCACCACGAAGCCGCTGGCCCGGCGTGCGAAAGGACAGGAGGAGGGGGGAGGGAGGCCAGGTGCCCCTCCGCTTGCCTCAGGCCCGGTCTGGCGTCTCCTCCTGCGGCTCCCGGCGCCCGCCTTCCTGCCGCAGCTCCCTGCCGGCTCCACGACCGAGGGGGGCCGCGCGAGGCCTCCCGCAGCGGCGCCGCCGCCTCCACCCCCACCCCCCGGGCCGTCGAGGCCAGAGGGCTGCAGCGCCCAGGCGGGGCCGCCGAGCCCCGCGGCGGCCGCCACGACGACGCCAGGTCGGGCGCGGAGCGAAGGCGGAGGAGGCGGAGGAGGAGGAGGAGGAGGAGGAGGAGGAAGGAGAGGAGGAGGAGGAGGAGGAGGAGGAGGAGGAGGAGGAGGAGGAAGAGGAGTCCGGAGGAGGAGGAGGAGGAGGAGGAGGAGGAGGCGAAACACCAAAATTGAGGAGGACGAGGAGGAGGAGGAGGAGGAGGAGGAGGACGAGGACGAGGACGAGGACGAGGAGGAGGAGGAGGAGGAGGGGGAGGAGGAGAGGAGGAGAAGAAAGAAGAGGAGGAGGAGGAGGAGGAGGAGGAGGAGGAGCGAAACACCAAAATTGAGGAGGAGGAGGAGGAGGTGATCTATACCCAGACATGTGCGCGTCTTGAAAAATCAGGACAGGAGGCCGATTTGGGCTTCTGGGGGCTCCCCTTCCGGGCCCCGGTACCGTCAACATGATCGACCCACGCACCCGGAAAAGAGCTTAGAAACGCAAGGTATGGCTACGTGCTCAAGACACGTGATTGGGCGTCAGGCAACTGCAGTGCTGGAGGTCTCGATCGTGGTGTAAAGTGCCGAGGATTGTGCTTTGTTGTGCCGTACGGAAATGGGATGAACCATGCCGCGATGAATTGCGTTGTGCTATAGCGTTGTAGATCAAGTCGCCCTTGGCATTCGAACCCTGACCGAGCTGATCTGGATCTGAAGCTCGAGCGGCCTGAGCGCATAGCTGGCCCAGAGCTGGTTGCAGTCGACACGTGTGGGACGCTCAATCAGCTCGAGTTCAAGACCCGACTCAGCTCCGAAGCGGGACGAGACGACACAGGGCGCAGGGCGTATGGACGCGCTACGGAAGGTGCCAGGGGCGCACTAGGGGATGCGCCAGGGGATGTTTCAGGGAACGTGGCAAGGGACGCACCGCAGAACGGGCAGGGAAAGCGCCAGGGGACAAGACAGGGAACGCAACAAAAGACGAGCGAAGGGACTCGCCGAGGGGGGAGGGGCATACGCCGTCCCGCCCTGGAGCGTTACGAACCATATGTTTTCAAGCTCGTCCCGCTCTGGGGCGTTGGGAACCATTTGTTCACACGCTCGTCCCGCTACGGGGCGCTAGGAACCATGTATGTGTCTTCACGTTTGTCCCGCTCTGGGGCGTTAGGAACCCAAGTGTTGTCACGCTTGCCCCGCTCTGCGGCGTGAGGAACCCAAGTGTTTCCACGTTCTGACCACCCTGGGGCGTTAGGACCCCAATTGTTGTCACGCTTGCCCCGCTCTGGGGCGTGAGGAGTCCACGTCTTTTCACGTTTGTCCCGTCCTGGGGCGTGAGGACCCCAAGTGTTTTCACGTTGGTTCCGCCCTGGGGCGTTCGCAACACACTTGTTGTCACGCTTGTCTCGCTCGTGGGCGTTAGAAACCTAGTGTGTTCACGCTTGTCCTGCTCTTGGGCGTTTGGAACCATGTGTTTTCATGTTTGTGGCGCTCTGGGGCGATAAGAACCATGTGTTTTCACGTCTGTCCCGCTCTTGGGCCTTAGGAATCGGGGGTGGACAGACCTCCTACCCTGACACGTCGATTAAGGAATTGGCCGTGTTCGGTTCCCGAGAGGGCGTCGCGGCCATCATTTTTGCGGGTCCAGGTCCGTCGGTTTCGGTCCCAGGCCGTTTTCACTAAGGGGAGGTTTACTAAAGGGAGGTTTGTCCACTGCCGAAGGAACCATGTATTTTCATGTTTGTCCCTCTCTGAGGCGCTCGCTCGGGTAATATATATATATATATATATATATGAATAGCCGTCAAACGCAGAGGAGTCGAGTTCCAGGAGAGGAGTAATCTATAGGACAGAAGAAGCGTCTCGCTCGGGACATCCTCAACAAATTCTGCAAAACAAGCGTTTCGCTCCAGACATTCGCAATAAACGAAAACGTGTCCCTTACCATATGTTTTATTGATCGGAATTTCGAAAGCTGGCGCTTCGCTTGGGACATCCTCAAATGCTCATTCGCTGGCCCTCTTTCGATTGCGTTATGTGTCAGGGAGAAAATCCGCGGGCCCTCTTCGAACTTGTCATTCGGGACAAACTACCACCCTAAAAAAAGAGTCCTGGGCCCAGGCCCTTTCCGGGGAAAACAACGCAGACTGAGAAGTCGGTCCTGGGGAGGCTGGGAGCCACGCGCAGCATCGCGGGCTCTGGGCCTCCTCCTCGTCCTCTTTCCTATCCTCCTCTTCTTCCTCTTCCGCCTCCTCCTCCTCCTCCTCCTTCTACCTCCTCCTCCTCCTCCTCCTCCTCCTCCTCCTCCTCTCTCTCCTCCTCCTCCTCCTCCTCCTTCCCTCCTCCTCCTCCTCCTCCTCATCCTCATCCCTCATCCTCCTCATCCTCCTCCTCCTCCTCCTCTCCTCCTCCTGCTCCCTCCCTCCTTCCATCCTCCTCCCCTCCTCCTCCTCCTCTCCTCCTCCTCCTCCTCTTCCTCCTCCTCCTCCTCCTCCTCCTCCTCCTCCTCCTCCTCCTCCTCCTCCTCCTCCTCCTCCTCCTCCTCCTACCCCGCCTCCTTCTCGGTCGGGACATTGCACGTCTGGTAACGTTTCCGCCGCCCCTGCCTATAAACCCATGCCCCGGGCCCAGGAGCGGTGCCTATACGTGACCCTGCCCCTGGTTCGGCCGGGCAGACGGCACACACACACACACACACACACACACACACACACACACACACCGCTCCGAGGCCCAGGAGGGGACCTGGGCAAAGGCCCAGACCCCCTCGAGTCATGAAACAAAACAAAGGTCTTTCGCTGTCTTCGGCCTCTGGGGGCCCTGACCGGACCCTGGGGCCGTCAGAAAACGACTCGGTATGAAAAACGGGTCCCGGAGAATGGGTCCGGACCTATGGGGGGTCGCGCCTTCCAAAAATCATGACGTCGGGGGTCTGGGGACTTCTCGCCGCCCTCGCCAGGAAGCGCGCTCCGAAGGCTGGTGCGCGCGGCTGCCCCAGCCCCTGGTGCGCTGCTCCAGGCAGCCCGCCACCCCGCACCCGCCCCGGAGGCTGGCCTCTGGGCGGCCTTGGCGCCAGGCCGCCCCGCCGCCGGCGACGCCAGGCGTGGCGACCAATGGTCGCCTCCGCGCTGGCTGGCCGACGCGCCGTGGTCGCCTCCTCCTCCTCCTCCTCCTCCTCCTTCCTCTCTCCTCCTCCTCTTCCTCCTCCTCCTCCTCCTCCTCCTTCTCCTTCTCCTCCTCCTCCCGAGAGGACGGCCAACGCGCCGTGGTCGCCTCCTCTCTGGCTCGCCGACGTGCCGCCGCAGCCCCCGCGGACGACAGACCTGCAGCCGGCTGCGCCGCTCCTGGAGCCGCCGAGGGCGCCAGTGTCGGCCCCCGCCGGCAGCGCCAACGCGGTCCCGCTCCGCGCGCTGACCTCCGGGAAGGATTACCGCAAGTGGAAGAAGAGGCTCAGGGGCAACGTTGCGGGGGGGGTCTGGGCTTATGTCGGGCGTGTCCCCCATACAGGGGGATTTTCGACGAACAATAAAAAATGCAAGAACAACAAAAAATGTCAAAAAATATTCAAAAAATAGTCCCCAGACTATTTTTGGACTGTTTTGGGTTTATTTTTTGGGGTATTTTTTATTTTTCGCCGAAAATCCCCCTGTAGGGGGACAGGCCCGACGTAAGGCTGGGCTCGGGGGGGCGCATCGGCCCCCACTCGCGCACGCATCGCCGATGGGGGCCCGGCGGCCCGTCCGGCCCAGGAGCTGGGGCGGAGTCGCGCGCTCGTGGGCTTGTCGCCGGCCTCGCGGCGGTGCACTGCCGCTTCCTGGTCGATGCTTCCCCTTCCCCCCCCAACGTCGGGGGCGACAAAGAGGGGGGTGATGACTAGGGGGGGGGGATCTCATGGCGTGGGCCATGATATTTCCCCAGGTTTCATGGGGCCTCTTCTTATTTCATCACGTCCCTGGCCCCCCCGCTTGGCCGCGCACATGCCGCCGGTCATGATTTGCGCCCCCCCCAACGCTTCTCGGGCCGGACGAAAGGGGGGGGATTGGGAAAGGGGGGGGGACGAAATTTGCTGCATGCAGCTGGTTTCGGCCCCACCTAAGGGCCCATTCCTCGCCTCCGGCACCGGGACGCCGGGAACATCAGCTACGTGAGCTGATTCTCATCCCCCCCCCTTTGCTATCCCCCCCTATCGCCCGACCAGAGCTTCCCTCAGAGGCGCAAGCGCGACGGCGGCAGGGACAGGAAGTACAGGCTGAAGTACGGCTGAGCAGCGCGGCAGGCGGTTCGGGCGCATCCAGGGCGGGCGTCGAACGCGCACGCGCGCTCGCGCCCAGGAAAGGAAGATTGCCCATTTTCATGAACACGCATGGGGTCGTAGGCGCAGGGCCCGCTTCGCGTTCGACTCGGGATGCTACGGTTGCGAGTGGGCCCTGGTTTGACGGGCGAACGTTTCGATGGTGCTGCCACCTCCGCCAATCATCTTGCCCAGGCCTCCGACGTCCCAGCAGTTTCGGCACAGGGCCCCGGGACCTTTCGACCCCAAATGGGCCTTGCTGCATTGTTTTGCATTGGGAACGCAGTGCTCCCAATTTTCAGACGTCGCCAGGGAAAGCATGCCGCCCTTCCTGATGTGATTGCGCATGATTTGCTCAGTGTGTCTGGCTGCACTGTGATGTCGGTCCGCTTCGAGAGGCCGCACCCGTCCCAAGTGTTGTTGGCAGCTCAGCACTGCGCGTAGAACTATGATATATGAGGAGGAGGAAGAGCAGGACGAGGAGGAGGAGGAGGAGCTGTCTTTCGCCGAAGGCCCGAACCCTGGGTCTTCGCCAGCGGGCAGAGCCCGCCCAATCCAAATATTGGCACCCAGCATGGAACAGCTGGTGTAGTTCGCTCTGGTAGGCGATATGATTCTTCTTCGTTGTTTTGCCGATCGGCGCGGGCCCTCGCCCGAAATCTTGGCTGTTTTGGGCGTCTGTTTCGAGCAGGCGGAGCCCCTCCCCCACAATGGGCGCCCTGTTCCAAACAGTCGCGCTAAGCAGAGATCCGGAGCCAGACCCCCCCTCCGCTCCCGTCCGCCCAATGTCGAAACGCCGAATAAGAAAACGCTCACTAGTTTGTCTGCCGAGAATTGGAGAATACGGCGCAGTGTTGGACCCAGCGCCAGAACCGCTGAGAGCTTCGGCTCCACGACAACCCGAAAGAGCACCAAAAGCCAGCACAAGATGTCTTTTGCCATTGCGATTGGTGGTGCCTGAAAAATGTTCATAGCCCGTTGGATGTCGGTGAGGTCGTTGGGATGTGCTCTTTTATGTCCGTGTTGGCACCTCCATTCGATTGCGGATTCCAGTGCCACTCTCCGAGTTTTCATAGTAGCATGGCGGTCAGAAGCGTAGGTGTTAATCGGTCTGGTCCGTCTTCCAGCTCCAAAGGTTCCTGGCCTGGTCGGACACTAGTCTGTATAAAGCAAATCAATGTCCGAATGGGCTCCAGGCCGAAATTTGCTTTGTTAAATCTCATGTTGCACGCGGGAAGTGTACAATGGGATCACATGGGTTGAAGTAGTTCTAGTTTCAGGACATAGATTGGCCTCCGGGAAAAAAGTAAACATCGAAAAAACATCGGATGCGAAAGATATAAGATACAACCATGGAGCTGGAGACCGCACACGACGGATGACGGCAGAAGAAAAATTGGCGGCACATCGAAAAGTGTCGCAATTGTCGGCGCAATTTACCGACGTCACCGTGGAAATCACCGCACACGGAAGAAATATGCCAGAACGGGCATGCGCCGCCGTATCTATTTTTCCGACCATACCGCATCTATCTCACAGAAAACATATAGCGCGCCGTACCTATTCGCATCCACTTTGAACGAATATTGTTAGCTATGTTCTCAGTGAGAACAAAGCCCCACGGCCAAAACCATGATCGACGGGATAGGTATACGCACTATTCAGTTCGCGGGCAACGAGCGGATTTAGAAATGGTTGTCTTTGTGAAGCACGAATTTGTGTGATTGTTTGGTTATACGGTGCATCCCTTTTTCCCGGACGTCGTCGTGTGTCCGTGTCGTGCGTCCGTCGAAATGAAGGAATATTTTGAATATACAAATTTTCCGGTAATTTCGTTATTGTGTTTGTCCGGCCGTGCGTTTGTGTTTGTTCGGCATGGTCAACACGTTTTTAAACGTAGGCATTTGATCCAATGCGGTGGTCAAGATGAAAGTAATGAGGGCACCAGGCCAGGTCGCAAAAACCGCTAAATCATCTTAACCAGAAAAATATCATCAGTGTTTACAAAATTCTTCGCCCGCACCCGGCATTATTTGTTTCATTGTTCGATTCGTCGTTTATGTATTATTAGTTTTTTTTTTTTCTTGTTTTGTTTCATTTTTCACAGTTTTACAATTTCCATGTTCCAACTCAATTATGTTTTAAATTTCGTTTCGTCATTATCATAGTGTTTTTTTCGTTGTTTTGGTGATTATTGCTTGTATATCCCCCATGTTATTATTCTTTGCATCACCTCATGTTGTTCGCTTCGAGACCATGCGCTGGGAGCGGAAAGCAAAAGGGTCATGATTAAGCGGGGGTGGATTTCATGGTGCAGGCCATGATTTTTCCCTAAATTTCATAGCGCCTTTTCGTATTCTATTACGTCCCAGGCCCCTCTCGTTCCCGCAATAGGAACAACATCCATTCTGGAAAAATAGAAACAGATAGATACGGCGCATCATTGATTTTGAAAAATGAATTGTGCATATGTGATTTTTCTTTTTAGAAGTACGGCAGTGCTCCTTGAAGCCAAATATGTCGTCAACAAAGCGCCATCGCTCATCTGTTATTTGCTAAAGATTTTCCAATTATTTTTTCCAATCCCGGTTTACATTGACAAATATCGAACATGCATTATCTAAATAATATTCAACGAATGTGTCTTCAACCCCGGCACATCGAAATCTTCGCATTTTGGTCAGAACATGTGCCCGGGATCCTCAACACCACATGAATTACCATCAAGATGTACCGCATCTCGTTAAAACGCAGTCTGTCAACCAGTCAGGTATCCAGTAGGGCGCGTTTTCAGAGCGCTGCATAGCCGGACGAATTGCACGCCAAAAGCGTGGTCAGACAATTCAGACGCGCCAAATGCGTGATGGGAGACCAGAGAAAAAAGGTGGAGAAGGAGGAAGACGACGAAAACGACTATGATGATGATGGACATGTTTCATACATATTGTGTCATCTCGTATATTTTTGTTCGCCCATTGCTGGCGCGGACGGCCTTTTCGACGACGTATGGCTTATGTTTTTGGCGTGCATTTGGTTTCGGAAAGTATCTGCCTGACCTGAGAATCATGTTCTTTAAAATTCATTTGTGTATACATTTTTCTTGTTTTACCAGAAAGAATTTGAATAATGTGCCTTCCAAGATTTGTGCAAGACGTCAGCGTTGCCCACCATGGGTATGAATGTGGAATAGCAAGAATTTTACGCAAGTGCCGGTAATAAAGAATATCCAATTGTGTTCCGTATATTTTTAAAAACTATATGGAATCCAACAGTTTTCTAATGATGCAGCTTTTGTAATTTGTAACGGTATTTCCCAATTCACACATGGTTCCATACAATTTTTCACGCTTCGCGTATCCCCACCAACTCATCTCCAAACAGCAGCTGTAGCGAAGCATGCCGAGAGTAGTGTTTTTCAGACGTATTTCCGCTTGCCCCTGCATATCTCTCCTGTTCCTCTTTCTTCCTGCCTCTTTGTACATTTTCCTTGTGGTGGGAGCGGGGGAGTCGTTCTGGCCCTTCTTCCTGGTGTGACTCGTTCGGGCTCTTCGTGGTGTGAGTCGTTTGGGCTCTTCGTCCTGGTGCAAGTCGTTCGGGCTTCTCGTGGTTTGAGTTGTTCCGGCCCGTCGTTTTGGTGTGAGTCGTCCGGGCCCCTCTTCCATATAATGATTTGAATAGTTTCGGTGTTTTTATTAGTCGTCTCACCAATTTGGGTTTCTTTTTCTTGTCGCATATGCCCGCCGAGATATATCACGTATACATTGGATGTCGTCTTCGTTTGATTGCGCAGTGCGTTCATTAGTGGAAATTTACATTTTTTGTTTACTCAATTGAGTTCGAATCCACACTTCACACTCTCAGTGGTAATTTCAAAGAAAATGTATTGCAAATTGCTTGTGTGGTGTGAAGAGAAAAATGTTGCCGGCATGCAAGATGTCTCGTGTAACCACGCAGAGAAGCTCTTCCAACATATCACCCCCCCGAAAAACGTCATGCAACATATTGATTTTGATCATGCTGCATTTGCACGGAAGAAAAGCAACTTTACGTTATTATTGTTTCTTCTTTTCTCTCGGTAGAAGACCCGTGTGGTCCAATATCGTAAAATACTTGGCTTCGTATATGGAGCGAAGCATTCTGATCATATTTTTTGTTATTTCGAAACGTATAAAAATATCACACATACAATCCGGCTTGATCCGGTCGAACGCCCTTGCGCAGTCCAGAAGAAGAATGATTCTGCATTTTTGTTATTGTGTGTTGCGTCGATAATGCCCCTGGCCAGCATAAAAATCATCTGTTGGTTCCCGCATGAATCCAAATTGAGAATCTCGTAGGCTTTATTCGGTCCGCCTTGCAACACTCGCTGGTGTACCTCATCATCAGAATCTTGTATCCGACTATCAAATATGAAAGCATTACAGAAATTTTATTTTTCGGAGCGGGGAAAATATACTATTAACCTCCACCCTCACAACATCATCGGCTCGTTAATGACCCGTTTTTTTCCGTCCAACAACACCATCGACCTGTTCGAAAATATTGATAGAGTACGCCGATCGCTTTGAAATTCTAGCGGTGCGGCCTTGGTATTTTTGTAGTCGAACAAATTCATATAATCACGATATTGGCGCCAATCGGATCGGCAATTGATATGGGGCCATTTTGAAATGCTCGGCATGCTTGCGGGACCCTCTCGGATTGTGAGTTTTCGGGACGCGTTCTTGGGAAATTCTTCGAATTACCGGTTATATTTTGGTGTCCGATTCAAACTTCCATTCAAGGCGCATCGAAACCGAACGGGCGAGAACGCAAAACTCATAAAAAAATAGCTCTTTGCAAGCCGCCGAGCTAGACATGCCACGCGCACCCTTTGCGCCATACAATTCCGCGCATTCGGCGACAACGATGATCGACGACCACTTAAAACGCTAGCTCGAAAACATGATTTTTACTTTCGATGGCCGAAACAATGCGACCGTGACGCTCGAATTTTTCTCCAATAAACCCCTCTAACGGATTACATATTAGAAGTCCCGCGTCAATCA